GCGGTGCGACTGCCGCCCCGTCGGGTTCCTACGCCCAGACGGGGCGGCCATTCGTGCCCTCAGCGCTGTCGCTCTACTTGAACACCCTGAGGACGCTGTGCAGAGGCAGCGCTGTCACTTAACTGCTGTGGAAGAGTCATTCTTACTCCAATATCCCTAAGGGTCGTTTTCCCCTGCGTAACGCTTTGGAACAAAACTCAGTTCCAAGGTCGTCACAGCTCAAAAAATACTTAGAAAACCCCAGCTTTTCTGCGGTAAGCCATCATTGTTCACAATTTTAAAATAAGCATTTCTGGAATAGGAAGAGGTGGTGACAGCTTACAAAAGCCAAGAGGAATGGTGATTGTGTCAGCACTTCCAAAGAGGTCACTTCTATTTACACATAAATGTTTACATGTCCTACGTTCAATCATGTAATTCCTTTGAACACACACCCTTACAGAAACCTCCACACAGAGGTCAAGCTAACTGGCCTTCAGCATTTGGGGTTAAAAATCTTTATAGATAGAAAAATTGTGAATCAGTGTCTTAAAATACCTGCTTCTTGTAAAGCACAAACTATGAGCCATGACAGGGCCTTGGGAGCAGAGCACAGCACCGTTTCTAGGAAGCACTCAGAAAAGCCCAAGCCCGTAGGCACCTGTGATCACCCAGTCCTGCAGCCAGCAGCTGGGTCCAAGACATAGCACAGGGGAGCTGAGAGACCTTTCATTGCAAAACAGTATTGACAGCAGTCTCCTCCAGTTACAAGGGGAAAAAATGCATGTTAAAGGAAGAGTGGAGCTGGAAAAAATCTAGTACCTGAATAAAATTGTACATATAACTTTCCCAAACCAACTGCTGATGAAGCCATAGGAAGCCCTAGACCAGTGGTGTGCAGCAAGGCACGCAGACCTCACGGGTCACACGTAACCCCAACCCTGGTGAATGACTCGAGGCCACACAGGAGCAACCTGGGCATCTGTGCTCTTGGATCAAAGCCCAGGCACAGGAGAACAGGTCTGCCCAGAGCTGGACTTGCTCATTAACCTTTTCACACCTCTGCTATCCACAGCTCAGCTGTCAGCTTCAGGCTACACACTGCAAGGCTCTGTGCCTCGCTAGTGCTCCCTCCGGGCTGTTCAGTTTCACTTCAGAAGGCATCTAGACCAGGAAGAGACTAAAAGCAAACACCAGTATGGCTGGACAGTTATTCACATGGTATGAGGCTCCCAAGCACTGGCACTTGCCAGTCTGGTTCTGTCTGTTGTTTCACATTACATGACAACACTCTAGTTCAACTCCAAGCAGCGCCTGCAGTAAGCCACTTGGTAACAGGCAGTACTGCCTACATAAAGAGGCTCAGCTAAGGAATGTTTGTGCACGAGGTACGTAAACAAGCAGCAGCCCTAGGACTGCACTCAGAACTTGGCCCCACAGATTCCTGCCCATTTAGAGAAATGGCAAAGGTCAGTCCATTTCATTGGTCACCACTCGGCGTTCTCTCAAATAAACAGAAGACAAGCAGTAGTAGACATGGTAGGTATCATTGATGTATTTCACTGCAGTTAGTGGTTGAACGTTGAAGAACAAGCTCTAACATATGCCACAGTGAACACTACAGAAGGTGCCATCCCCAGCAGAGCTGACACAGCAGAAACGTAGCACTTCAACAATTTTCAGATTTCATAGTACGTCACCACTGGTGGCTCTTTATTGGGGTCTCCTCCTCTCTCCAGATACAGGTCATTGAAGGGATATTGCTTCGGTCCCTGCAAGGAGAGATAAAGAATGGCAAATTCACCACCTTCACCAAGAAAATTGAGTGGCAAGGGGAAAACGACTCATCCCATCCCACACCCACCCAAATCAAGGCTTGCCATTTATGACTTAGATTTCTACTTCTTGAATGCTTCAGCAGGAATATTAAATTACAAAAAAAGTAAATTCAGAGTTAAGAGTTTTTTTGTGTAAACCCATGTCCTTTAACAGAAACATGCAGATGGTCTTGCATTTAACCTTAACAAACAGTTCATCTTGCTGCATGAGGGTGATATATTGCAAAAGCTGTGCATTCAGATGTGTTTTTCAGAAATATGTTCAAAATGATCCAGATCATGAGATGTAACTGAAAACACAGGGCAAGAGAGAAATAAAGCATCTGCCTTGAGCAGAAGCACACAGAGAAGGAGAACACCTTGACTGAAGAAGGGAAACTGTAAGAAGTGTAGCTTAAAGTTCTCTCCCTGTGCACAGGAACTGCTCACTGTCCAACAGCACTTGTGAGCTGAGCCAAGCCACCCAACAGAGCACCTCATGCTTGATGAGGCCACAGGACATCCCCTGCCAGCCTCAGGGGTTTACATTCATACTCATCACCCTGCTTCAGCAAAACCGCGCTTCTGGGCACTGGCAGTGACTCCAAAACCAGCTACTTTCCTCCCTTTACCCAAGGGCATCACTCACCACAGGCCTGTAAGATGGAAAGTAGTGTCCAACACAAAACATGGTCAGCATGGTACCCAAAAAGATAAGGAAGTGTTTGCGCATGGTGTGCCAGGGAACTGGAGTGGGGGAGGTATCAACACGGTTCCGAATATACATGTCGAAGTCCCAGTGCATCTAAAGAACAAAAAGAAGACAGCTGCACATTTACTGCAAGTAAAGCACATAAAGAAGTACTTTACAGCATTCCCCAAACTGCCAGAAGCTGTCTCATCCCCACCTTGAAAGCGCAGATAAAGCCATAGAGCAGATAAGCAATTTACCTCCAGTCAGAGCAAGTTGTCACTTACAGTACAAATCAGAACTCCAAATTCCATCCCATGCTTACAACAGGCAACTTGCTTAACTATAGGACAGCAGCAGCTAGTATTTATGTGCATCATCACTCCACCTCAGCTTTGTGGCCAGCACTGTTGGAAGGCACAGCATACATCAGCACTCTCATTCAGGGCAGTGCAGCCACGGCCCCAAGCAGGGGCAGCCATGTGGTGTCAAAGCAAGCGGCCATCACCTGCCACCTGCAAGCTGGTTCCTCCAAAGGGGCAGAGCTCCTGCCACTCTTACTCCCTGACAAGAGCTGGGCTGGTGGCAAGGACAATTGAATTCTTCCTAATTGAAGCAGAAGGGTATTTAGGCTTCTGCCTTGAAGTATACATTGGGAAGTCCCAAGCACGTTCCCAACCCTGTTGTCTCCTTTCGCATTAGTGAAAGCAGAGAACTCATTAATTTGCAGCTCTGGCTGCCCAGCCTTCCTTTCCCTTCTGCACACAGAGCCATTCACTATCAAACCCCCAGAGCCAGACTGAGCAGGGATCAGCTGCCTCAACAGAGGCGTCTGCTGACACCTGGGATGCACCAGGATGTGTCACCTGGCCCCCACTGCCAGCCCCACGTGGAGAGCTACCTACACAAGCCTGCCTCTACCAACCACAACAGAATCACCCCAGGTTTTTTTCATGTGCTTCTACAGGTGCTGGAAACTTGCTTTTGCATGTTCATACTATGATATTATACACATGCTTATATAATTTCTACTTTCATTAGCAAGCTAAAGTCAATTACTAAATTGGGCAATCCCAGTTAGATTGCAGTCTTTCACAGAAGGACGATGGGCTAACTCAAAAATTACTCCTGACAAGGATTTTGAGGCACTTAGATTTATTCTGAAAGTTAACAAAGGTGCTCTATTCATCCATTTCTCTTAAGGACAGCTTACAAACCTTCTTCAAAGGAAACATCTCCTTATTTGTACACTATTCAAAAAACAATTTCTGCAGTACTAAAGCAGCATTAACTGCTTCCACTGTACTGAAAGGACTCTACCCAAATGATCTCTTCTTTGCTAAATGGTTCTGAACTAAGTTCTCATACCGAGTCAGATGAGGGAAAGAAAATGGATGAGGCTGTCCCTCCTCATATGTAGTAAGATTTTATCATTCCTCAGCACTTTCCAACTATTCACCCCGATGGCCACAGCCCAAGTTTCCCACCAGCTGACTGTTCCTGCTTGCAAAGGCAACACAGACCTACCTGCACCTGGGGATGCACTGACACAAGCCATTGAACAGAAAGCACTAACAAGACCTGCACGTTGCTGCTTAACAACAGTAGCATGGTAACCATAAGGTCAAGTGCTGCTAGCATTCCTACCGGCTCCCCCCAGTTATGCCTCATGTCCTGCTGGTCCCACTGGTACCAAGGGTCTCTCTCATGAAGGGACTTATCAGGAAGTTTGGGATAATCACCAAACCTGTGGGAAACAGACAAAACCCAAACATACAAGAAATCTGTATTAATTTAGATCTGTTTTGTAGGAGGCACTATGGGAGCGTCCTATGGAAACGAAAGGCTTAAACATCACTTTGATTGTACAGTTTCTATCTATTTTAACAATGCATACAATTAGCACAACAATTGTTGCCTTGCTACTAGTTATTGCAATACATTGCATTCCTTCGAGTGGCCTTTTGGGGCTATACGAGCTGGAAGAAAATGCAAGCTTAATTGAAATACACAACGCTAGTTGTCCTCCATTTCATATGTGTCAGAGCACTCCCCAACATGTAAACATCTCCCCAAGTCTTTGCTCCAGAAATGGCTTTCGGTTGATCCCTCTCAGCCTCGCATTACAACAGCATATGACGTCTCCCATGCAGTGCTTCGTTCACACAGGCGTTCAACTCGTTCCATCTGCTCCCCTTTTAAAACACCGACGCGCGCCTCCAAAGCTCGAAGCGCCCCCCGAAGCCATCGTCGGGGTAGGGCTCGTAGTCCTCCACCCGCATGTTGTACTTCTTGGCGGCGGCTGCGCGCTCCTCCGCCGTCCGGGGGTACGGCCCGGGCATCAGATCCTTCGACAACTCCGAGGCTGTCGGCAGAGCGACCGGGCAGGGTGAGCGCAGGGTGG